TGTTTGATACATTAAGTTGCCACTTTGGGTTGCCTCTAAATCCTAAACCATCACCTTTGTGAAGATGTTTTTGGGCTCAGTTGGGATTTCTGTGAAACTATTCTGTGGATAAGGGAGTTTTTCTGCTTTTCAGACTATTAGGAGAAGTTAAGAGAATGTTTGCTGGTTTGGATCAAACTTGTCTGGTTTGGTATGGCTTTATCTGTCTGAAGCTATAGTCTGTATGATATAAAGGCAAACAGTGGTACTTATCAGTGTAGAAGTACTGGAACACATCAGCAGATAAAGGGGTTGAGAAGAAATGGGGACCTAGAACCCCACCTTGAGGTACACCTCAGGAAAAAGTAACACCTGTACACCTCTTGCAACACCCTTGTGGGACTCGAAGTGGCAAAATGCATTAATCATGATGAATAACCAAAAGACCGACTTCTTTTAATGAGACAGATTGGTGCCTCTCTTCATAGCACATCAGTTTGTCCAACTCAGTGGTTTAAATTCCTTATTTTTACACTCACCAGCCTGCAACTTCAGCTTACATTACTACCAGCCTTTTTTCTTTTTCTGTTGGTATTATCCCCTCAATTGACTTCTTTTTCTCCCTCTATGCTCTGAAACAGCCTGTATCATTCTTTTGTAGTCAAGCAGAAACCAGGGCTGACATGCTTCACTGGGAAATGCTGTAAAAGGTATATGAAATCAGCTTCCTTTATTGGATGAAAGCCGGGGAAAGCAGGAGAAAACCCGTGAGAGAAAATGTCTTGAATGAGGTGGGAAGCGAAGAGGCTGCAACTGGAGCAAAGGATGAAATAATTATATGGTAGCTAAAAGGAGTGAAAAGGCTTTTTGTTATTTTTCCATGAAGACGCATGTATTACAAGTAGGTTATTGTTGTGCTTCTAAATGTTTTCAAAAAGCTCATGTAATGTAGAGCCAAAGTAAAGTATGTGGGAGTTTGTAGAAGTGCACTTTGAAAATTATACTCAGAGACACGTTGCATGGTTGTGTACTTGTTGGATCAGAACTCATTTGCTGTTGGTCCTCATCTCTTTTCAATACATACCTTGCAGTGCCATGTTATCCACTTCCATTGCAGGTGAAATCATAATAATCTTCTCTCTGCTATCTATATCAGACTATGGAGTTCAGTGTTTTTCTATATTAGGCCTCAACAGCTCTGTGGAAATTTGAGGGGCCCAGGTGGCCACACTGAATCCCTGCTGGATTATGTCTCTGCTAGAGAAAAATGAGAGGACAGAGCTGTATTATCCAGCATTATAGCAATTTAAGTCATCTCTCAGTGAGACAACCAAAACAAATATCGAAGACACAGTAGCAGCTTCCACTGGAGATGATAGCTACTATCTTTATATAATATCCATGGCAGTGTCACAGTTATAGAGCTGAAAACCACATTTACCAGGGACAAGAGAAGCAACACAAAGGAGACATTAATAAATTCAACAAATTCCCAAATTACTTCAAAATTGTTTCCCCACCTTCCCCTTTTTAAACTATGCATGTTTCACTCACTTGAGGAAAAATCTGTTTGTTTAGTTTTTCTGAATATTGAGATGTAGAGCCTAAGTGCACTCACTGTGTATCTGCTTTATTGTCCTGAAGTCACCATGTAGCCTGGTTGAATGTGTTTCTGACAAACCCAAAACAACCATCTATGGAACTCAGGTGATGTCCAAAAAGGAAAAAAATAAAGGCACTGTGGGAAGTTTTTAACTGGTTGAGATGAGAATGAGAAATTCTGTCGGGATTGTGAGGTAAAAGTATCGAATTCATTTAAAAAAAAGCACCTTTTTACTTTTTATAACTTTTCATTTTCAGCCTTTTTGTTGTTGTTTTGTTTTATTTTACCAAGTATAAGGGCTACATTTGAAATTTGCGGTCATTTTCTTACAAGCATCAAGTCAAAGTAAAACCATTTTCTAACAAGTTTGATGTCTTAGTAAAATATATATTTTTAAGACAATTAAGCTTTAGTAAAATCAGCTTCTTATGAGAATATAGGTGTATACTAAACAAATACTAAAACAAACTGATATTACGATGAATTTTTTAGTAAGCTACTATGACTTTTTTTAATGAGAAAATTACTTTACTGTGACTTTATTCTCATTGCGTAATTCCTTTGTCCTCATCAAATATATGATTTTACTGTTCTGGGTAGAAAAAGGACTCAATTCTTTTATAGTTTTTAGAAAAACAACATTTTTTTTATGATGTCCTCTATAAAAGTTTTAATGAAATAGCCATCTGTAGCATGAAAATGTGTATGTGTAAACTCCTAACCTGCAGTGATAGACAATGGGTGTGTTGTCAGCACACCCATTGGTTCTACTACTTAGTGTCAGTTTACTGTTGTTATTTCAGAGCCTTTTGCTATGTGAGCTGGTTTTGATTTTGCTGTTTGGAAGTGGTTCTTGATGGTTGTTCCTAAACAGGAAAAGGGAATTTTTTAAAAAGATGAAGTGAGTTAATTTTCTATTGCTTTTGATGATGAACCACAGGCTCTTTAGCAAGGGGAACTTGCTTGGGTTACCTAAATATGCACTTTTTTTCCTGTATGAAGGTGATTGCATATTGCTGAAGACATAGAGCTGTGCTATCACTTAGCTCACTGACAGCCAATAAAGCTTGTGTTAGGAAAATATCATTCCCTGTAATGTAAGTGTTCTTTATGCCAAGGGTGAAACAAGAGACTCCAGTGAATGAATTCCTCTTTTTTTTCTTGTACAGTCGTGGCAAGGACACCTTTTTATATACTGTACAATTGTTCAAAAGAACCACTCCAGGAAATCACTCTCTACAGATGCTTGAGAATATAATGTGATAAGTAGAGATGTTCGTTTAATAATCCTCCAGTTTTTTTCTTTTTAACTGTAGATCTTTATTAAAACAAAGCTGTTTATTTTATTTTGCTTTTTAAAAGATGACTCTCCACTGGGGCTCTGATCTATGGCCTTTTCACAGTGGAGGACACTTTCTATTTTCTTTTCTTACTATTGGATCAGTAATGGAAGATGGAGCTAAACCGGTGCCATTGCTCATGTAACACCTGACTTTTCTCTTCCATTTTGTTGTACATCCCTGGGTATAAAAATCTTTGGGCCCAGATTACAGTATAACTCTGTTTGAGGGCAGTGTAAATCCCGAGGATTTTTACATTTGCTCATCCGCAACCCATTCAGTCCTTTTCTACCACACACTGCTCTCGGGATTAAACAGATAGAGAAGGGGGGCAGGGAGTCCGCTGGGAGCTGGCTCTTTCAGCTCTTGCTTTGAGGATGATGGTCAGCGGCCGTTATGTAAGCCAAGTGGATTTCAAATGCATAGTTGAGCCGTTTGTCTCTTTGATGCATGATGCCTTTGTCTGTGCTCTGCTAACTGGGCTGCCCATTCACGCTATCTGACACACATGCAATCGCTGATGTACACACTATACTGTCCTAGTCTCCTATGCACAGCAGAGTCCTTCACGTTATAAAGAACAGCAGTGCCAGCCCATTCTTTTTGTATGCTCACCTTCAAACTTGTTTGCAGACATAATCTGATAGCTTATGTGCTGAGCTGCCACTCAACTGAGTCAGACGATATAGAGGAAAAGGCCTGACTAAAAAAAGAGTCTAAAGCTGTCTCGTTCACTTACTCTTCCACTGATTACTGAGGCAGACTATGTTCAAATAGATTGCCATGAAGTATACATAAGAGATTGTCCTGTTAGCATTTTTTAAAGGGTGTTTGTTCACTTGACTGTACAGATATGGAAAACATCCACGTTTCTGATGGTCTCATTTGTTTGTAAGGTCACAAGGAGGCATTAGCATCAATTTTTTAGTCTGTTTCTCGTTCAGTAAAAAACTCCCTACAGTGCCTTTCAACAGCTGGAGTATGTATTACGTTCGGACGATATTGCCTTATAATGTCCTTATTATAATGTCTATTTTTCCTCACAATAAGTTGATCTTATATACAAAGGCCTCCACAGATGTAATGGTTAAACATGCATCAGTTAAAAAGATGTGCACCCAGCAAAGTGGCAAAAAATGTATTTAAGATAAATTAAATATCAGCGAGACTTGAAGTATAGATGCCACAACACAGAGGATTAGGGCTACATTAAGAACTGAGATTATTTTGAGAGTTCAAGAATTCAGTTGTGTTATCAGGATAAAACCTTAGTTTAATTAGTAGAAAGTTCTACAAGGTACAAAATGAAATGTCTCTCAGTGTTGTCCTGATTTATTGGATCTCATACTGTCAGCTGCCCACATTTTTCAGACACGCTAGTCTAGGCTTATCTCCCAGTGCATCCACTGTGCGCCCCCGACGATATGCTTATTTCCTTGATGAGAGTTTTGCTGATCACTGTAACCTGTCTTGTTTGTCGTGGAACAGTCAGATGCTGTTTTATGGTCTTGTCAGATATCTCTTTGCTTGTGTGCACGCCCAGTGTGTTTATAGTTTTGCCATTAAAAAAATCTGATGTTAATACAGTGGCTCTACACTTGTACCTCCTGGACACCACACTTTAGGAACTACAACAGTTCACTAAAAATTAAATTTGATGACTTCTTGGATCTGACTCCACTGTCACAAGACAAACAGTCAGATAATAATACATTCATTTTACCAACCCAGAATATAATGTCCATCCTATACTGACCTTTGACCTCCTGGTTCAACTTTGACCTTTAATGGTTCTTAAACTTGAGCACCTGTACCATTTGATAAGCAACGAGGGATTATTCCTGACATCTTGCTTCTATCATTTCACAGCTGGTATTTCTGCCTGGGTTGAGCTCATGTTTATCTAGGCTTCATACCAAAATCTCAGATATTGCTTTCTGGAGTATATTTTTTATGATAATAAATAGGATGATGGTCAAAATGTATGAAAAGTATCAATGGTTTCATGCAGAGTTACTGAATGCATTAGCTGAGCGCATTTAACTTGGATTTGCAAGTATATTAAACAAAGGTAAAAGAGCACATCTTCCATCAATATCAGATTTTATTTTGCATATGAACATTTCCTGATATCCATGCATACAGTATAATGAGCTCACAAGGTGGCTTAGAGAGAGAGAGAGAGAGCGAGAGAGAGAGCGAGAGAGAGAGAGAGTAAAATATATAGTCCACCTAATGTATTGCAGGGTATATAATAAGACAGCAGCAACCCACATTGCTTGCACTCAATTAGTGTTACAGTGTCACAAATGAGGTTAATAAAATTGGTTGATTTCTTCATAAACTTCAGGATATATTTTCAACCAAGTTTTGCAGAAACGTTTTATGGGCCTGATAAAATGTGTCTTCATTTAACTGGAACCTGATATATCTTTACTATAGAACTACATGACATTTCATACAAAATAAATACTTATATAATGCATGATACATTTATATAATCACTGTAAACATGAAAACAAAACAGACATCATATATTTACTTGTACTACAGATACTGCAGAGTCAACCCAAAGTGCTTGATAAAAGACAAAGATAATACGCGCCCCTGTTTGTACTGTGATTGTTCAGAGGTCAGTTAGCACCAAAAGACAGTCTATGGACAGCTCAGTGGATAGAAGCTTTTATATTTATATTTGGCATTTTTCTCGCTCCAATTTTTTTCCTCTTTTTTTTTTTTTCTGTCACAGCATATCTGTTAAAGTTCACTCAGTGTTCCTCAGAGTTCTAGCTCACACAGAGTCCACCTTGACCTGGTTATTGTTGGTCATGAGCGGCGAAGGTTTACTCTTGAGCCTCTCTCCCGCGTCGTTGGAGCTGTCCTGGAAGAAGATGCGTGCCGTGCACACTGATACTACGATGCGCCTGTACTCGCGCCTGAAGTTCTGGTTCAGCACACCATACACAATAGCATTAAGGCAGCTGTTGAAGTAGGCCATGAAGTAGCTGGAAACGAACAACCACTCGGGGATGAGCGGGATCACCACCTCTGGTCTGATCGCTACAGCAAGGCCGATGAAGTTGAGCGGCGCCCAGCAAACGGCAAAGAGCACAAACACCACGAACATGGTGACAAAGTTCCTAACGTCATGTGGCGTTATCTTGGGACGATTGTCTGGCTTGACCCGCCTCCTCACCTGTATGACCAGTATCCAAATGCGCAGATAGCAGTATGTGACAATCATGATGGGTAGAATAAAGTGAAAGAACACCACAGCGATTGTGTACGCTGAACTGGCGGACTGTTCAAATGTGCAGGAGTAAACTCGTGGGTCATACTGAATTGAACCCACGAACAGATTTGGCACAATGGCCACCACAGTCAGTGCCCAGATCAGCATCACATAGCAGACAGAGTTTTTGTCACTGTACAGTTTATCATACTTGAGGCTGTGGCAGATGTAGCAGTATCTATTGATGGCAATGCCAGTGATGTTGAAGATGGAGCCGATGACACTGACGCCCATGAGGAAGCCGCTGATCTGGCAGTGGGCGTATCCCAGGTTCCAGCCATTGTGAAAGATGGAGGTGAGGACCAGAGGGTAGGGATAGATGGCCACCACGAGATCTGCCACCGCCAAGCTCACTACAAAGATGTTCCCTGCAGACAAAACACACACCCACGGGAGAAACAAGAGAGGACACATGAGTCACTGCAGACAGAAGCAGAGCAGGTTGGACACAGAAATGAACGAGACAAATCGAGCATCAGTGATAGCACCAGAAAAAGATTAATTCACAGACATTTGGAGTTACTTGCTCCAGAAACGGACTGCTGGCCAAAGAAGCTAAGTGAGGGATCATATGTTGTCATCTATTATTTCTGCCATTTAGTTATTTCAGATTTTAATAACGCTTTTTTTCCCCTTCATTTTATTTTAGTGTGCATTTACAACTACATTTTTTGTTCTCCAACATCTGTCTTGTGCCCTGCCTTTGACTGTTTCTCTCTCCTGTATGTATCTGATCTTTTGTCAATTTTCATCAGAAGCAGTTTATGGTAGTGTCAAAACAACTAGACTGGTATTTCTAAATCCTCTCTGAAGAATGTCATCTAGAAAGGCGATCTACATGTGGGCGAGGCTTTTGACGCAGCAATCACCTGCACATGTGGCGGTACTGTGAGGGGCTTAGAAAAACAAGAGATTGCCTAATTTATGTTATTTAAAAAAAAATTTTATCATAGACTTAAGTTAATGCAGTCTTTTCAAGCTTTTATACAACATCAAGACTTTGGCTTTTTGATCTAGAATGGTGTCTCATTTTTTTAGTGTGGCTGCTGTCAGTCTCGATAAAGATATTTTTATGATTGTGGGAAGCCTGGACGAAATCAAAATTGAAATCCGATTAATGACCCGGCTCTACTGAGTAACTTACACAGTCATCGTCTATGTGTAGGAAATACTGTACTTTCATCTGTGTTTGAGTGTTTTATCTCCTTTACGGCAGGCATTTTTCACAAAGAGACAGTTTAGGCTAACTTACAGAGGTGACAGCAGTAAAACATAATGGAACTAGAAAAGCACTCAGAGAGCGCAGACCTCCGCTAAGCAACTCATGTCCCCCCTTAAACAAGAAATGTCCTGACCGGGATTCGAACCCAGGACCTTCTGGTTAGGCGACAGTGCTAACCACTACACCACTGTGCCGCCTATCTACTCCACTGTGCCGCCCATTGGTTATCTTTCAGCATTGAAAATTCCAACAACACCCTTATTTTTGTGTGCTCTGGATCACAGTATCCAGAATTTTGTCCGGATCCTCCTGGGGCTGAGACACACCTCTGGTGAGAATTTCGGGTCAATCCGTCTGTTACTTTATCCGTAAAGTTGCTAACAGACAAACAAACCAACGTTACCGATTACATAACCTCCTTGGCGGAGGTAATTATAAAACAGCTGCAACATCACTCTCTAATGTATGTAAAATTGTTTTTATCAACTACAATTTACTTGAAGCCTCAACACTGTGTGAGCCAGGTTTAAACCTCTTCATATTCATGTGGCACACAACAAAAAAAGATATTATAAAGAGCTGCTCATAAAATGGGAAATCCTTTCAATAATCCAAAATGCTATAGTCTGCCTGGGAAAATAGCTGCAGGGAATAAAAGTGTACAACATTTAAAATATGCTAAGACACAAGCACAATCCTTTAGAGACATCCATTTGTTTTTGTTGCTACCTCGTTACATAAGCCACAGGGAAATGGCCTGGAGGCTTGTTTTTAAGAGGAAATTCATCTGCAAGTTTTGTATTCCCGGTGTGTACGTGCACTTGTTGAAATGCATGAATACATTTCGGAGGTTCCCCTGATGATACGACTTGTGAACTCCAACTTGCATTCAATTGTCACCTTTTGACGTCACTGAATAATGAAAGGAAGGGAGTCCCTGTCACTAAATAATGCATTTTTTGTAATTATCAACAAGAACTGAACATGCAAACATGATCTGCTGGCTGGGCGGTAATCGGAAGCACACAAGCGCATTCTTTGTCCTGAACTGATGGGGAAAATTAGACATGGCTAGTTGAAGAACATGCTTCTACATTCAGACAAGGCAACAGACCGCAACTGTGACCTCAGGGCTCTTCAAAATTGAAATACATGATGTGCACTTGAAAAAGACAAAAGAGCAAATGTTTCGTAAAGCTCCGTGGAAACGACCACACGCACTGCTGTCTCTTCCTTAATTAAGCTGACCTCTGCATTTCAGCATTATTCACTGTTGAGTGGCCTGTCATGAGGATGTTCAAGGATCATAGCATGTAGCCGCACAGCATTTTCACAGCTGTCACTTGCTTAGTGGTGGAATGTGCACCATGTATATGTAAGCACCATATTACGAGGCCTATTGACAAGTCCACATCCAGCCCAGCATATGTGACAACACCCTGTCACGGATGATAAGAGGCATTTACTGGCTGTCAGATGGGAACTAAGCGCGTCGTATATCTCTACAATCACTGCAGAGCAATTTCATTTCAGCGCTGACGTTTGGTCTGTCAGTATCAGACACACTCCCACAACCTGCAGGCAGACCTGTCAGTCTCACCTGAGCATTAGAAGCACACTACTGATCAGCCCACTGGCCTCTTATCTCACATAGAACATACCAACCATTCTTCTGCCAGAGATCACATGTGGCTATTAATTAAACTTTATCCCTTTTTATCTGTCATTCAGCTGCCCTCTGTAGGGAATTAGGTGCACCTGCTGCTGTCAAGACCCCGTGGCTGCCGGGGAGCTTTACTGTATGTTTCCATGCAGGTGTGTATGTGAGTTTCTACCGCTCTGTTTCTCTGTGTGTGTAAGGCCTGGCACTTGTCTGTCTCTCTTTGAAGACCTTGAGAGTAAGGACACTCAAAAAAATTAATCAATTTTAAGAAACATCTTTGCAAAGGCTTGTCGGAGATTGAATATATTAGTGGCGCGACTAGCAAGAGAGAGGGGTTAACACCCCCACCCGATGGTGGTGGCCTTCGTATTGGAAATGCTGATTCAACCCAACCTTTGGTCTTCGGAAAATCAAGAAACTGCAGTTTCCAGCACTCAGGCTTCATTTTTCAACAATCTGAGTTTGCTGTTCTTTGGGCTAACTGGGAGTAGCATAAAAAGTTGTGAAAAGAAACCTTGTGAGATTATTGTAGTTAACATATATTAGCCACCACTCACTCTACAGACACAAGTAAGGAGTTATCCATGATTTGATTTATTGTTTCATTCCATTTGAGGATTTTAATTTCAATATTCCCTTAACTTTTAGATTGATGTCTGGAATGTCAAAGAGAAACATACTGCTAGCTTCAAATTTCGCAGCAAAGAGTTAAATTGTGTTCCCAGTCTAGTCACCAACTTTATTTATAAGCTTTTTAAAGCAAATATCAGGTTTAATGGATTTATTATTGTATCCTGCCAATCTAAGGAGACTGAGCCAAGTGATACAGTAGCAGGCCTCAGAGAAAAGCAACATGTGCTACAAGATGCTAACATACTTTGACGGTTAGTTTTGATACTTTGGGCACAGACTCTTTTGCAAACATCATTTGTGGGAAAAGCTCATATTTATTTTGATGACATAAACAAGAGAGTGTGTTTGTGTCTACTTTTCTGAACTACATTGTGAGGACCATGATGAAAAGGCTGACAACTAGCGGATTCAAGACTCAGTTGTGTGCACACAGATAACCCTTGTAACCAACTGATTAAACTATGTGAGTTAAATATAATCACTGAAAAAGCATCAAATTTGGATCAAGTAGAATTAAGGTCAGACAAGGTCTCCAAAAAAAACACTGTAAACCAGTACATTTCCCCCCTAATTCACAAACCACGATAAAGTGTGTGTGTGTGTGCGTGTGTGTGCAGACATGATTGCAGCAAGTTAAGCTCCATATGTACAGCCAAAAGACAGCCCTTTTTTCTAGTTCCAAGACAGTGTTAAGACATCTTGCATCAGTCATCTTTAAAGGGCTCCCTTTTCTTCCCGTGGCTATTTTCTACTGTAATAACCCAGTTAGAGCGTTTCAAACTCAAGTCACTCAACATTAACTGTCTTAACCTTGACAAGGTCATGTCATGAAAGGCCCGGAGGCGGCCGGCTCTTTTGACTGTTGGACTCTCTCACTCACTCACTGTCTCTGTCACTGTGACCAGTCCTGTGATTGACACATCACTGTGAGTTTTCATTTGGCTTTGAGGAAAGATACGGGCTGGTGCTGTGTCCCTCTCGCATTTCTGCAATCCAACACTTTTGGCCAATATCTGTCAGGATTTAGGTACAAGTGAAGCCCATCTGAGAATTTTCTCCCCCTGTAGCTTGCGATGAATTTTGACACGCACAGGGAAGCCGACGGAGGATGCACAGTGCATTTAGATATTATCCTTCCAGCCATTTTTCACAGTTTATGGTGATACAGGATAATCTTAAAATGGGATGCAGTGTTAATTTTTTGGTTGGCTTATGCCCCCCCCCCCCCCCCCTTTTTTTTTCTGGGGGGGGGGGGGGGTACATTCTGAAAAAACATAGGCATCAAATCAAAATTAGTTTAAACCATCCAAGTCAATACTTTGAAATTAAATTTGGCAGCAATGACACCTCTGAGGCTGTCTCTGCCTGGAGCATCTGAGTTAGGATTTTGTCCCATTTTTCAGAGCACAGTTGCACACAGTTCAGTCAGCCTGAAAGAGAATCATTAGTGAACAACTACACTGAGGTCTTTCCACAGATTTTCTGAAGGGATTTAAGACCTGGGTCATGCCAGGACTGTCACTTTACTATCCTGAAGCTACTGCAGTGATAGTGAAGGCCTACAATTTGATATGAAGCTTAATGTTAAGTGCAGTAAGTGCAGGAGAGACTTTCACAGAGTTATGTAAGCTCCGCCTCTTGGATTGTCTCCATTCACAAATTATGCCACTTGTATTTTGAATCAAATCAGGCAATCCAGTATTGTAGACTGTTCAATCATATAAGATTAAAACGACTCAACTTTTCATGAGCCACTTTCCAATCAGTGTGCTTTATTTCACCTAATTAGCTGCTCCAGCACTTCAATCTAACAATGCCGACCTCTCCCACAGACAGCAATACAAACACTGGCCAAGCCACAGTCCTGACCAATTATGCAGTAATTTCCTGTGATTGGTCATTAGCCCTGAATTGGGTTAAAGTCAAGTGTTGATCTACAAATTACCACCTTAGCATTCATCTTCAATAGTCTTCCAACCTTATTGTCCATCTGGGCTCCCACAGCACTACGCTGCCCCCTCCCACCTAAAGGCATGGTTGACGAACCTCGTTCAAATGGCGATCATGGTCCTATAGTGCGATCTCCACAAAGTGAAGAGAAAAAAGAAAGGAAAAAATCTGTTCACCCTAGCAGGTGCAGGGCTGCAAAAACATTGACCAATGGTAGCCATTCGTCCCGGACAGCTCCTATCGGTCAATTTCCTGCTCTGCCTTTCCATCCAATCACACTTCTGCTTGCCCCACCGCCAAAAATGCTAAGAAAACGCAAGCCGATAGAAGAAAGGGCAGAGTCGAAGAGGAAATGTGACCAGGCAAGGAATCTAACTCGAACAAACCTCGAGTCATCCTTAGAGCAATGGAGAAAACAGACGCCGAGACAGCAGAGTTTTTGTTGAACAGGTAATTTTTGCCTTTTATCGTGGCGCATGTTACATAATTAACTGTTATTAGTCTCTGTAATGTCAACATGGTGACACTGGCAGCTGTTTAGGCAGCTGCAGACGGTGCTCGCTAGCAGAGCTGGCATTTACTGCTGCTAGTCACTGGCAATTAGACATGGTGAATCCTATTTGAAGCTAGCGTAGGATCTTCTGCCGGCCGGCTTCTTGCTCTGCCAAAAAGGGTGTGTCGTTGGAAGAGTAATACAGGTTCGGGGGGAGTTATCATGGAGCACAGAGGGGAGAGGTTTGTGTGTGGGGGCGGTGGGATGCTTTTTTCAAATCTGCCTCAATGGCTCTGTTTTTTTCAACTACCTCTCAGATCGTCAACCATGCCTTTAACATCAGTTGAGGTTTAAGACTGACGGTGAGCTTTCTGCCTGACGACCACAGCTACAAGAGCGAGGGTTTCCATCGTATCACACCAGAGTTTTGCTCTCAGAGTCCTGCTGTGTCTCCTGCAGTGATGTCTTTCAGTATTCTGACATGATGCCCTGCAAGTGCTGCTCTGTCGGTTGTCACTCAAAATGTGCTTTGTCAGCAGGCTTTACAGTCCTGTCATTGGTCCTTGAGTTCTTCTTCACCGCCCTCCCAGTAGCTCTCATTGTATAGTATTCAGTTTAGAAAGACAGCATGCTGTAAGATAGAGAATGGATTAACCTTGTGATGACTTCTATTAGTTTGTCCTACTCGGCACAGAGGTTAAATGATGAAATTGTCTATCACTGTAGATTGTGTACCAGACACTGTTTTGTTTGATGGCGGACAAATACATGGGGTGAAGGTTAAAGGTGTGAAACTTATTAGTGTGTTAAAGGGATATTCTGGGGTAAAATTAATTTAGGGTCAAACACACAGACTACAGCAGGGGGATGCAGCTCAAGAAAGATCATTTAAGATCATTACTTTATCATTTCCTTAAAGTATTAATCACCATATGAATCATTTTGCACCGCAGATGCAGTAGTTCTGCTGCCTTCGTGTCTCTGTCTGATTGCATTTCCACAAAGAAATTATCATAAATGTTCTTCCTTGAGCTGTGTCCCCCCGCTGCCGTCCGTAATGGACTGGCCCGAGGTCTCCATACAAACAAACAACTGCTGGAAGAGAGTAGGTGAGTTGTGTTTAGTCTCTTTGCTAAAGAAATCAGGCAAAGTTAAAAAGAAGTTTTGGTGGCTAATGCTATGGCTAGGACCCTATATGACATGTTGATGAAGTTAGGTGCTGTTCTGAGCATTAGTTGTGGCTATAGAGTGGCATTTTGGTTGAGGTTTGTATATGGCTCCTCAGACCACAGTGTATTGCTATCATGCGGTTGTTACTAAAGTTGGTAAAACTAGAGAAGCAAGCGGTCGTTAACATTCATCTCTCGAGGGGGCGTCTAATTCGGTGTTACAGTGTGTTTGACCCCAAATTAATTTTACGCCAGAATATCCCTTTAACACTTGAAAACCCTAGTTTTTGGGAATTGTCACAAATTTTTATTCATATACTCATGAGGAAAAAAATCGAGTCTGTTTGAAACCTCCAAAGAAATCAAATAAAACCTAAAAAGCAAACCATCCCTTTATCCATGTGCTTGTTTGAGGCACATTTTCTCATAAAACATGAATGGAAAGATCTCATCAGAAAATCAACCCAGATCCCTTTGAAACTTCAACAATAACCCAGCTACTGACCTAACTAAACTTTCTATGAGTTCCTTATCGGCCTATTTCTGGCAGGGTATCAGACAACCTACAAGCAGTCTGTGCAGACAACTGTCTACCAACTGTTGCAGGCTGTTGCACTGATTAATGTTAAGTATTAAAATGCTGCCTCTTTCATAAAATAGAGGAAAAGAGTTCTTATAACATCTGAAAATCTGAGCGTCCAGCTTTAGTGGGATTTTATCCAATGTGTATGTGCTGCAGGTTAACAGCAGGTGAGGTGGGTCTGAATATCCATATACACCGTGACCCCGGTATCCACTGCTCTAATGATGCACTGTGGGGCCTTTCACTGCCCGAGGTCAGAGGTCAAGTCTAAGAGCATGCATTGTCGGGGAAGTTACTCAGGTCAGTGTTAATATTGCAATAAAACCACATAAAAGCCCTTTATCCAACACTCTTGGCAGAGCATACCGCAGAGCGTCATACTAATGTATGTTAATGTGTAAAAAAACACCCCAGGAATATGAAACTATTCCAATATGTTGAGAATAGGTTAATGTGTATAATTATGATACATGTCAAGCACATATCTAACATTACATATTTCAGTTATGAAATCGTTTTCAGTCCGTTTTGCACCAGAAATTGAATCAGGGATCCAAAGATTTAGCAGTATCCTATAAGCCATGTGAAATAAGGTTAGCTAAACTACTAATTATTCTGCGTTGTAATTAGCTCGATTACTCTGGAGCTACTTCTTGAAGAAATTTAGAGAGTTAAGCTGCAGCATTACAGCAAAAGTAGCTTGCTACATCAGAGCTTAGTTTAAGATCAAAACAGTAGTATGGCAATTTGGACAATTCTGTACACAGCTATAGGGTTTATCTACATAAACAGCTCCTGCCATCTACATTAACTAAACTACATACTCTTGTAATAGGCTGATGGTTTGAACAACTGGTTAGCCTGACATCCATAAATGCAGTGTAAAATACTAGGGCTGGGACAATGTGCTTTTCTCCCGATTTGATTCTTCTACAATTTTTTGGATGCCAATTTGATTTAAATTGCGATTCTACGATTTTTAGTCTGCATTTTTAACATCAGTGAAACAGTTGAATGATTATGATTTTCTACCAACTATTCCAGAAACCATATTTCCCCCAAAAAATACACATCACATGTAAGTCATTTTTTAAGATTTCTCTTAGATTTGAACAAAAAATCAAAGTTGGAACAAAAAATCGATTTAAAAATTGTAAAACAAAAAATTTTACTACTTTTGTGAATCATTTTTTTCTCCCACCCCTATAGAATACTGTAAAATTTACTGTATAGGATACACGTTCATTACGTTTTTCTTCATCTAAAAAAGTGAGGCTGCAACTTGAACATTGATGCAGTCAGGAGAAAATTATTTTATCTCCTGTTTTTCCATGTTTTACCCAAAAGTTTGTACTTAAATCAACAAGGGACCAGCAGAGTTGGGTGTCTTTAAATTGGTTGCATCCAGTGGGGTCATCTATATTTCTGAACTAGCAATGTTGAGCTCAACTGTGCCGGGAGCTAGCAGGATGGTGAAAACATGTTTAATACTAGAAAGAGCTTCACAGATGCACAAAAACTGCTCATTGCTGACTTTGTAAAATGAAATGCGAGTCTTCATTCATGGCTGTGAGGGTTTGTTTGGTGTGTGCTTAAAACACTCCAATGCATCAGATGATTATGGTCGTGGACATGGAGTCCATGCTCAGACTGGGTGCTAAATGTACAACCTGGTCTGAGAGAAGTTTGCTTGTTGTTTGTGCATTACTTAACCATGGAGACACAATGTTCACCACTGACTGTCGGGAAAGAACAGTCTAACTCAAACAGGAAATTAATACCAATAAAAAGTAGATAGTTTGTTTATATTCAACTAAATCATTAAAATTGAAAAGTTTGGCCCCAGGACTGTTTCAGACACAGTTATCACCTATCTTTAAGTTCTCTATCACCATCAAAAAGCAGCAAATACTTGAAATCGCACGTTTTCTTTCTGCAGCTTCCTCCAGACTTCCTTAATGAATCTACAGCACACCAGACTCCAGCTTGTAAAAAGACAATTCAACTGCAGATGTGCTAAGTTTTGCACCCATTGACCTTGTCACCACAGCTGAGTACTTTGTTTTGGTCTTTCTCATTCAGCTGTTAAAATCAGCCCACGGTAATTCACCTTTTCTTTCTGACTAAGAAATCCACCTTCTTGTGACTTTTTCTTCACTGTTACCGAGCGGCTGACTGCTCATACATGATTCAGCAAACAGTTTCTGTGCCAACACATTGGAAAGCCTTGAATAAAAATGAGTCCTTGATGAATAAGAGAATATAATGTGTTTTTGTGAGAGTCTGTGACAGTGTCAGGGGGCATTCAGCCAGGTCTTGTGAGGAATTTACAGAAAATATCTCCCAGCTATCAGTATGACAGGGGAGGGGAGGGAAAAACGGATTTATCACGGCGCTTCGTCCAGAAGAATGAGGATGGCAGCTCAGAGCTGTGCACGCAAAAATGTGACAAAATGCGCTCAAAACAACAACAACAGCGATGCTGGAACTCTGCTTGAACTGCCTTAATAATAATCCAAAAATGAAGGGGAGCAGCGAGAGAAGAAGGTGGAGGAGAATATAAACAGAGAAAGATTGAAGCAGCCCTCGGAAGAGGCGGAGTGATTATGTCCTGGGGTCACTATTGGATTTACGGATATTGTGTTTATGAATGAAACTAGTGACAGGCGTGGGTGATGAGACTCTCGGCAGGTTTAACCTCCTTACTTTCTCCAACTGCAGCTGTTTCATGAGTACAAAACCACAGCGAACAATACGTTAATAATAAAACAGGGATGCTTGGGGACAAAATGTGTCAACAGCCTTCTTCGTGACTTCATAGAGCTTTTGTTTTCAGCTGCAGCAAGAATGCTGAAAAAAAGGGAAGCACTTTTGACATGGATTTAGAGACAAGTTGTTTATTCCTACCCTGGTGTGGCAAAAAGAAAGAAGGGATTTACAAACTGACCTCGTGTGCCCTCCCTGCAAGAAACAGAAACAGCCGAGTGGAAGCAGCATAATTTGCTGCCAGCCTGATTCTAGTCCGCGTCAAGCACCGCGGCTGTTTTCATACAACAGCCTGGCACAAGTAGCCTGAAGATCCTTTAAATGTCAGAAACAAGTTTTAATCAGAACACAAACAAAAACAGAGGCGGTTATGGGAACTGTTTACCAAGATTAAGGAATGAAGGGAAGTTTTTCAACTCAAGGTTATTTCCTGACTCATGGTATCCAACAACGTTCATCACAATGTGCTTATTCTTTTTATCGGATAGAGAGAGATTTCCGTAATGGGTTCAGGATTCCTCAGAGACACTCTCAGGTTAGCACACAATGCCCTCTGTTGAGTGCTAATTTTCAAACAGTAATGTACTTTCTTTGCCCCACGAAGGAGGAATTTCCAAAACAGCTACACCAGTTTAATCTCAAGTAGGTATTTTGTCTTTATTTAAAGAAGGATAAATGAGCTTTGGCTTTTCTTGGCAGTGTTATGATGTCCTGTGGGTGTTAGCTCTGGGATGCAGCTAGAGTGAGATTTTAACAACATCTCATATCAAGTGAGGTTTACCGCCAGACTAGCCGACTTCATCCAGCCCTAAGAACAGTAAACAAGCAGTTTCAAACAGTCTCGAATTGACAGCATCCTCTTTTTTTTCTTTCTTTTTTACCATTTTTGAGGATCATGGTTTGTGAAAATACCTGTCCTGCACACTTACTTTCTGTGCTTAGGGAGCAGAGCTGACAAAACACCACGGGTGGTGTCACACTGGATGTCAGCCAGGCCCCCACAGCTGGTGGCCTGACACAGCCTGACAGGTCTACTCACGTCTTCCAGATAAAGCCCCCAAGACACGTTGTCCAATGTCAAGTTGTCAATCTGATTACACTGTCTTCATGTGTCAAGAACAAGAGCAATATACAGTATTAACCTGTGTGGCAGGACGGACATGGGAATTCACCACATCAGCATGTACTTTATACATTAACCCCCCACATCTACACCTCCAGCTGTGAATTTAATGCTGTAGTAGCTGCATTTAGCACACTGAATGAAAAACACATTTATTAAGTCATTTGCTATACTTGTTTTGTCGAGTTAAATACTTCCTTTAAAGGTAAACCTGTATTTTCAGACGCTATTTTCACATTATCCTGATTATTCTCCCAGTTTTTATCTGCTCTGTGGGTTATATTCAGCTCTTCCTCGTGTTCTCTCTCCATAAAGGGAATAAAAACCCTCTATCCCACTGATCCAAAAGACCATGGGGTCACTCTTACTGTATTATTGAGACCCCCTCAGGAGCTGTGGGTTGGATGGACCATGTGGCCACTGCTCCTGTCGCTGCAGGTGCTGCTACAATTTACAGTACTCCAGCTGCTCCCTGGTGAGCCACACAGCGCTGCTCATTCAGGGTATCTACTATGAAGCTGAGAGAAAATCTAAACACCATTTATGAGTTCTTTGCATTGTTGCGCGCTCTGTCTTCTCTTTACAATCCACAGTTACTAACGGAGGATATAAAAGTAGGACAATGCCCGGGGAGACCTCCATCTGAAGATAAGTGCTGTTTGAATAAAGGTATTTCTGCTGAGTTCCAGTCTCAGCAAACTGTCATTAAAGTGGCAGCAGGTGCAGCGTATTTCGCTGACGCTTGTATTCAGGGTGAATTTAACCCCTTTCATACCACAGACATGTGAGTGACGTGGGGCTTGAAGTCACGTTTCCGCTATTTATATGAGTCTGCTGGGGCAGATTAATCCCCGCACGTCACTACTCAGTAAGACTGTGATGATTTAGTTACGTAATTAAACCTCTGAGCCAAAGCTCTACTGCTTTTTTCCTGCATATTTGAGTGTCTAATCCATTCAAATCAAATATGAGATTTTCTTGCTCTTCTTTCTTGTGCGCGACAATGATCATCACCTCAATGTGTCTGACAGCTTTTGTACGTACAGTCTGTATCTGTAGTATTCAGTTTCTGCAGAGTAACTGGAAAATGCTTGGTTTTATCGTTTTTAAGAAGATGTTTCTGCATGATTTTGCCCCTCATAATGCCAATGACCACCTACAGTAGACATGGCGGATGAAGAGTATCCATCCAATACTTGTAGAAAGGATATTCACAATATTAGGGTAATACATGGATGGTGACACTTTATATTCAAACTAATTATGTTTTGAGGTCCAAATAGTTTGAATTTGAATTTTAGTGATCGTGACAGCCTGTCTAAAGTTAGCCAATTACAGGACTTTATCTGGAAAGCCAAAAACAGCTGCAGTAAATCCTTTGCTATTTTAAACAATCTCCATTTTCATGTCAGTTTTTCTGCACATTGACCTCATTTTCCAGTGTCACTATCATACTTGCAGAAGCGCAGCTTAGTTTTGAAAGCACATTTTCTTCACAAATCCCCAAAGAGCCCCATTTCCAAAATCTAAACTCTAAAAGCGGCATTGTTGCAAAAACAGACCTTTACGCACACAAACGTGTGAAAATCCCTTCAAACATACAAAGAGGCAATGAAAGTACAGCACACTGGAACACAATGCAGACAAATTATCAGCTGAAAACAGATTTTTCAGTCAGTTCTTACCCCACCTCACCTCACAAAAAGGCACCCTTTCACCCCACCTCCTCCTGCCTCAATGTGCAACAGGTGATCCCAGTCTGAGCAGGGGGGTAGCTTTGTTAAAGGCAGACCAGTGCCAAGCGTGGCAGGGGGTTGATGGGTTGACCCAGATATGAGGGGACAGGTCCAACCAGGAAATGTGGGATGGGTTTGAGTCCACTGTTACACTGACCGCTGCCTCTGTCAGCCTCTCTCTCTCTCTCTCTCTCTCTGTCTGTATCTCCAAAACACATCATAACATAAAACCATTAGTGCACTCCACCTGTTATCCTAATAAGCCACACTGATTCCTTTGCTGTTACAATACAACTCTATAAAACTCTGCTTATCAGAGTTTCCCTGAATGTTTCCCTTAATCTCCCAATCGAGCTGTAAAATCAAAATAGGAAACCACGACACTGTGTTTGTTCCTGGAGACAAAGCGAAAACTGATAAGAAAGACAACAAAAGTCACGTCAGTTATGTAAGAGTGTACGCAACCAGCTCTGCAGACAGTGGGCTACTGTATACATGAACAGATAGGTACTGTCTGCACATGGTCACATGGAGGCTATTGAAACATCCGATGTTCCAGCAGGTTAGTGGGTGATGCTAATGAGTTCAGACTTTATGATATGAAATGGGGCCAAGCTTGAAAGCCCAAATGATGAACCAGAGTCTGTTTCAGGTTTAGTCCACTGGCATTGTGTCTATGGGGTCATGGCCGTGTGCGAAAAGTTGGCCATAAACTGATCCCAGCCTAAAATATACTTGTTACAAATTACTATGAGTGCTCTGCTCAACTTTGACATACTCTACAATGTCTTTTTACACTTCAAAGCTACTAAGGCTGCGCGATATTGGAAAAAACTAACATTGCAATTTTTTTTCAACCCTGCGATATATATTGCGATATTAAAAAATAGAGGAATTTTCACCAGATAACCTGAATAGTACTTTATTCTATGCTGCACTGCTAAAATCTTGTGGACAGTTAACTTGCTCTGTTCTTACCTAGTTTTGTGAATGTTAATAGAATGGCTTCTGTCTGTCTTAGAGATATTTTTAGCTTTTATTGTTCTGGGACGTTATTGTGGCAACAGATGTGTACTGCCAACACAGTACAGGTGTTTTGGTAATGTCATCCTTCTTGTAAGCGAAATAATTCCAGATAAGGGATGTTGCCTTTCTTTTTGCCAACAAGTATTCATCTTCGGTGGTTTTCTCTTGTTCGTTTCTCATTTTGCAATCGTTGTTGTTGTTACCGTTGTTGTTTGATGAGTTCTTTTACCTCAATGTCACTATCGCGCACATGTACATTGCGATGGCGATGCTCAAACGACATATCGTGCAGCCCTAAAATCTACAGTAAATCAATCAATCAACTCTGGATTAATCCCATACAATTTGTCCATAAAAGTTTTATAAAAACCAATGAGCAACCAGATTTAATAAAACTAAGTTTACCGAGTTTACATTTCATATAGCAGAGGTGTGCAATGGATGATATAGTGTCGGGATGGATGATGTGCAAATCCTGGTGTCTCACAGTTATATGCCCATACACATACACACATTTTGGCAATGTTTATGTTGCACAAATAGACAACAGGGTAAACAATCCACCATATTATCAAGCTGTGCAGGCCGAGTATGAGAATACTAGGGAATTGTTTCAAAAGGTACCCTGTGAGTTCTTAGTATATAATCAAAAGCAATGTATATGCTAATACTAGCAGAGCATCTGAGCCTGTCTCTCTTGGTGTCAATTACACACACAGACACGGTGCACTGCAAATATGCAGCACAGACATCCTCACTCTATTTTAAAATAAGCACAGCAAAGGTTGGGGAAATAGGTATGGATGTATGGGTACTGTATAATTTGTAGAACTTTGGGTTCAGACTCGATTCGATTATTTTTCTTTTTCTCCTTCTAGTTAAAGTTTGATGGCATACCTTTTAGATCAAATCGTCAAAGTAACATGTGGATGACATCGCTTTAAATCTTAAAATGAAGTGAAATTCATGCAGGAAGCACTTGACGTTTATCATCCAAACAAACAGTTACATACTGAGTGCCAAATCAGAAACAAAGTGAAATAAATAGACTGAGATGGAGGAATCTGTCCAGAAGGGTGTGAGAGGTCAGTTTCTCATCCATGGAAAGGTTTATTTTTTAAATAGGGAAATTAGTTTGGCTGTACTGGTTAGTCACTTCTGCCACTAATATACCATGCTGTGATATCTTAGCCATATTGCCCACCCCTAGAACAAAGTCTCCTTCAAGAATCCAAATATCAGTCATCCACACCCACACATGAACACAGAAAGTCTTAGCAACCAACGATGGGATGGTTTGGATTCCCATTTGCAATTACCAAGCAGCTTGATCCTGTCAGAAGATTGGATTGATCCCATTTATGTCATTTAGGTCCCTCGGAAGCAAGTGTTTAATGAGGAGTTACTGCCACTCATTATGAAATGAGCACACTCATCGTGCTTCAAGGTTACCGAGGTTATTCTGAAATAAACTATAAGATGCAGTAAAAATAAGCATGCATCAGCTTTATATTTACATTTGGAGAATTTAGTTTTATTTAAATTATGTAATTTAAATGCATCATGATTTTCATTGTAACTAGAGATTTAGAAATGATAAAAAAATATACATGAAACCGCTAAATGAAAAGAGAGGAGAACTCCTGGATTTTCTTCAAGGATTGTAAGGAGCTTCGGTCACAATGAAGTAAACTGCTGGTAAGAGACAGGAAGTGAACATGCAACAATATCAAAGGGCAAACATTTGTACAGCTTATGAACACCCATCAGCCTCACTGACCTCCACACCCTTATTGTTCAGCGCGCCGCCTGAACCTCACATTACTTCCTGAACTGACAGTGAACTCGGCTCCATAATGGAAAACATTTATACAGTGGAGCCACTGACAGGGCTGGCACATACGATAACCTTAAAGCTACACCACTATATAATTTCTATTTGAGAGTGATGATACACAATTTATCATTGTACATATATTTCCCCCCATAATTTACATCCAATCCCATTTTAATAAAGTGAAAACCTCTTAAGGAGAAAATACCAGCCACTGGAGTTCGACTTATCTCAGTCGGCTACATCTACATTAAAGTGATTATAGAGGCAGCCTCAGTCATGGTGGAAGTTCAGCGCTTAACACACTGCACAGCTGATGCCAGGTGGGTATCTGTGTGTGTGTGTTTGTGAGCGCTGTTTGCTCCACTTTCTCATAAACAGCTGCCGGCCAATTTCAGGATCTTATTTGAGGTTAAATATATATTTGCAGCTCGGTATTAGAGACTCTGAATCCAATGTCTTCACCAGAACCTCAAGCTTTCCATTGCCTCAGCCTCAATTATCACCACGTTTCTGTGAGCAGTAGCTGATATGTAAGACTATATTTTATACTGGCTTTTGTTTTTGATGTTTAGTGTTATAAATATTGAATACCTAACCTGTAGATATACTCAAAAACAGCAGTTCTGTCATTGAGTTTTAAACAAACCCTAACCCTAACTCTAACCCAAACTGAGCTCCCATTTTTTTATCCTTTCAGCTGTTTTTGTTTTTTCAAACTTATTTTTGATCACTTTTTCTTCCCTAGCAACTTCGTTTCCAGCAGAGATCACCTGTTTCATGCTAAAAATCTCTTTAAAACAAGGGGAGTAGTATTTATTTTATTTTGCAGCAAAAGACTTAGATAATTCCCATGAGGGCTGGCGGAGACCAAAACAGAGCTGGCAGGAAGATAAATATTATGGTTATTCCATTAAGCAGGAAAAAATAAGCCTCCCTTACCAATGGCTAAATGTCTGGTTGATGTATTCATATTGTCATTCTTTCATTGTTGGTGCATCTTTACGACATCATCTCTGTGAGCTGCTTTAACAAGTGAATCTACTCATGATATATTATAATATACATACACCAGTTAAGTGCTTTCAGTTTGTTTTGCTGCCCTCTAGGAGCCAAAATTAAATCCAGGCTAGTGCTGTCCAGGTTGACTGAAAGTAGCAGAGCTGCTTTTGTCTAGGCTGAAGTTCACTCTCAAACATTCCTGGTGCTCACTGACATGTCTCATTTTGAGGTGATTAAAGAGGTTACTCAACTGCCCTGCATAGTCTGTGCTTTCCCTCTACTCGGCACTCTATTTTTTCCTCCTTATTTTTTTTTTTTGGACAGGTAGCATTTTTCTGCTCTGTTTTGGGCGGCTTGTTTCAGATCACAATTTTGTTTTCTTGGCCGGGTTTAAATCAACATGAGAAAGACGAGTATGTTGACAAGTTTCCCGTCTGTGACCTATCTGTGACACCGACACTGGCAGTGCAACTTTTGTGACGGTTATCTTTTAAGTGACTGAGAAGCAGCCGGATTGTCTGATCGTTTTAGGTGATGAATCAGAAATGTAAAAAGTTATGTAACCGCTCTGAAGCCAACAATCCTTTGTATATTTTGACATTTTCTTGCAGTTCCCATGGAAAATTGAGGTCAGAGCTGAGCTTGAGCATCTGTTGAGCTTTATCATATATGATTAGTTTGTGCAGCGGTTATTTTCATCATCCTATCTGACCCCAATTGACCTGAAAGAGCTCAATGTAATCTCCTTATACCATAGTTGGGAATCTTTCTGTGTATTTCGAATGCCATCTTTCTCAGTGTTTTCAGACACACATTCCACAAATTTCAAGGCTTTGATCAGATAAGCTGAATTTTATTGCCGTGGTTAACAGCTTATCTATCCATTTATTTTTTTTTATTTTTTTTTGCAGTGTCACTCAGAGCATAAGCTTTGGACACAGTCTCTAATTTCCTATTTACTGTGTGTAACAGCCCTGCTTCAAAGTCACATACAGAGCAGCCAGAATGTCACATTCCCACTAATCCCCATATTAAAAACCCCCAATCTCTTTTTTGCATCACTCATATGTTCCACATTCATCCGTCTCTGTACCTCGCATCGCATCCTGTGCCGCATCTCCCATCGTAATTACGACGACAAGATCAGGAGTTCACCAAACATATGGCGCATGTGTGCGTACAATCACAAAATCGTATGCACATAGAGGCTGTATCAGTGTGTGGAGAGAAGCTTCATGCGTCAAGGATAACCATACTGAAAAATAAGCATCATGAGTAAACACATGGAGCAGCTGGGAGACAGACATCAATCACCCGCCCACGCATGTCATATAAACCCTTCTTTTTTCTTTTTTTTTTTTTACAGTCTGTGACGATTCGCAAATACATATAATAATGTGACACTATGAAATCCACAAGGCTGGTGGTAGAGAGGAGAACCAAAACAAACAGTGTAAACACATGGTTGAATAAAGCAAACGCAAGCTTAACTTTGATTACAATTAAAAAATATTAAAGTTGAAAAATTCTGCCCTTATTTTCTTCTTTAGCAAGAAATATAATCGTCTAGTATTTATCGCAAAGCAAAAAAAAAAGGGACATATTACAAGCCCTGTGAAAAACCCAACGGTCGCGTCAATTTTGTTTTTGTTTTTTCGACAAATGACTTCTCACTGTGCACAATGTAAATAAAAGGCTGTTCTTCTACATGCTGTTTATCTAATAGTCTACAGCACTAAAGTGCTTATCAGTCTTGTAGCTGATGGTCTTGTTTGCTTTTTTTTAAAGTAATAAAACGGCATCAGTACTGATTTCTCTCAGTTAGTTAACAAGCCAAAATGATCCCCTAAAAGCTTTAAAGCTTTTATTTGACAAACTGATATTACAAAATGTTTTGTAAAGCTGAACTAATGATTACTTCAACTAAACTGACAAAATAACTTACGTGATGTGAAATTGACCTCTTATAGTAACAAAAACAGATCTATCTACTCTGTACTTGCTGCCGGCTCTGTACAGAGCGTTTGAGATTCGTTGTTTCAGCTTTAGGCCTGAAGCTTTTTCTATTTCAGTCTTTTCCAACAACCGATGGTAGCTGTTTTTAGCCATAATCATAAAAACGGTTATAAAATATTATTTTCACTCTGAGATTCATATCTATTTCAAAGAAAGAGGCAGTTTTCAACTGATCAGTAATTTGGAGGCACACTGAGCGCTGATTCTTTGGGTGCTTCAAGGCCCGAGTGCCCAGGTGTGCTGTGATACGAGCAACACTGATTCAGTACAGACTCGTCTCTAGTTTACTGTGTGCGTACATGACATATTGGTGTCAGCTGAATCCCCAAGAGAGCTGGATGGCAACTTCTTAACCTTGACACAGTTCTCATCAAGAAATAATGAGAATAGTGAGTAGGGATTATTTGTAACTGTTACCGTTATTGAGACTTTTGACTTTTTGACTCTTCCAGATGTGAAATTTAAATACATCAGAATAACCATTATTTACTTTTGCATCATTCTTGTTGTACTTATTTGACCTTGAACAACTCACAGTTCAATTGTATATCATCTTGGCTAGTTAGCTAACCAGTTTCTATCCTGCTAATTTCAACCTGGATTCCAACATTAGTGAGTGTCAATAATCCAATTTGTTTTAACCGTCTTATTAAAAGCTTGGTTGTGATCATTGACTGTAAAATATCAGGTAACAGTTACAGCCTTGAGAAAGCAGAAAAGTAATTATAAGTCATATTATCCAGCCCAGCTAAAATTTAAGTGTTTTTCCAATGCAGTCGAATACATCTTAACATAAATAAGCGATACGGATAGTTTCATTACATGACCTAAAGGCTTCCCTATCTTTATTTCTCTGAAATTAAACTGAAGCTTTAAATAGAGTGGGGGAATGGTAACTCAGACTCTGATAAAAAGAGCAGCCATAAGTTGTACAAGCCTCCACACGTAGCTGTGTTTGCAAAGTCTGGAGCTTCAAAGCTTCAAATCTTTTTTTGGCAAAGTGAAAGAGGCTTCATCCACCCATCACTAATTCTTACGTCCTTAATCCTAACCTTGATCTTCAGCCCTCCATGTCTGCCCTCCAAACTTCCCCGAAACTTAACCTGGATCTCCCTCCTTTTTATTGATACATTAATCTAACCTCAACTGTGGAGATGTGAGGCTCAGACACAGTGACCTCATTTTGTAAAAACGTCCTTAGACTGATTCTCAGATTGTTCCTATAGCAGGGAAAGACAGCGGCACATACACACATACACATGGCCAAAACTGGCCTAAAATTACAGCGCAGGCCAGTAATTTGGCCTTTTGACAGGATGATTTAGCTTATGTGGAATTAATGGACACAGATGATCAATGGATGATCAATTACTCATTTGGGATCTAATGATACTTAATTCAAGCCTCTGCACAGAATAGTTGACAGCATCTGCTGCATCCCTTTCTGAAGCCTAACTACATTACAAAAGAAGGGGTGGACAGATTCTCATTCTGCTTCACAATAATTTGACGCACAACTCTCCAAACATCCATCACCCTCAGCAGGAAAGATGTTCACATCCTCTAGTCACAACATCTCTCCTCCCTCCCCCGATCACCAAATATGCATCTTTCCACACCAGTTTATTTGCTCATCTCAAGAGAACACTTTAGGCCAAAATCTGCTCTGATGTAACCCCTTTGACGTAACTGAAGTCTCCACTTTTGTTACATCAAATCTGGTGTTGGGGTATTTTTTTTTCGTACAATATAACAAGATAAGGTAGAGGACCATCAAGACGGAGGAAAAAGTGCAGGTCCCCTTTTATAGGTTTTACCTGGTAACTCATTTAAACATTCTCGAAGTCAGTGTATCGATCAATCAGTAAGAGAAAATACAAATTTTTTATACTTACTAAGAAATCTGGAGTGTGTGGTTTGACGTGAGCAGCTCAAATGGTACATGTCGCTGATATTGAAAAAACTGTAACAATGTGGATTCTAACAAGACTTCTCTTGAGGATTCAAGTCCGCTGTTGACCTGAATTAAACTCTAATCTGAAAAAAAACCTTTACAGAAACATTTGAGACTAAGGCTTCACAGAATATCCTTTTACAATCCAAAGGTAGCATCATGCCTTTTTGTTACTTGATGCCGAAGACAGCTCACTTGTTTCTTGTTTTCCATGACTCATCTACAAGAAGAGGCTTTCTGTGATCAAATCAGTTCAGGTTTTTGCTGGAGCACAAAGTGGTCCAAGCACAGTGAACCTTGAGTCCTGTCCTGATGCTGGTTGAGGCTTTTTTAGCAGGGGGTAGTGCCACGGAGTATTTCCTTTTAGAGTTATCACTGTACAAGAATGTTTAACTTCAGTACAATGCAGGAAATAAAACAATATTGATATCTGTTTTGATACTACAAAAAAAGTGTGTTTATACTGGTGTTGATATCAGAACAAGCCAAAATGAGTTGTCAGGATATCATATCACTCAAAGAAATTCAATATCAGGCTGAGCTGGACTGGGCAGGTGATTGGGTTACAATGACAATTATGGCATCCCACAACCATAAAAATGTGATAATGGAAACTGAAGGATATTGCTGTGTGCTACTCTTTTTCACCTATATTGTGAATGGAGCCCACCCTCCCAGAACATGTCCTCTACCCTTCCCCTCAGACAGCTCTCACTTTGATGCCATCATCAGAGATACATGTGTAACAAAGTCAGCAGTGGTAAGAAGTTGGAGATTCCATTAAATCTTCAACTTACTGTGCTTTAGCAGTACAAACTATCATACAACCATGGGTGGAGGAGAGCAGGAGGAGAAGCAAGAGGGAGCGGGGGTGTGCATCTGAAAAGCCAAGGGACAAGAGCCTTAGTGTGCTCACATTTGCCAGGTAAAAAAGTGATAACCATCTGTATCATAATAAAGATAATCCTAATTCTTCATATTAAAATGCAGGTTTGAAAAGTCTGAGGGCTCTATTTCCGTGCCCGCCAGCAGTGCGGCGTAAGGTGGCGCACCCTGCACAGTGGTATTTTAGTCCGGCGGAGTTTGGCACACAGCCAGTTTGGTATTTTGCAGACTGAGACGCACCCAGGTCTGCCAAACTGGGCGTGGCAGAGCAGTAGGGGGAGGTGTCGACAGAATCAGCTGGCGCAGAGGGGAGCTGATGTGGTTGGTGAAAACAGTTACACCCACTCCACGCCCTCTCCCCTCCCATTTCCTACTTACGCTGCTGGGAGGACCTGAGTTAGGGAGGGGGGCATACTTACCCTGGGCTGTGCCACTCACCAAAATACCAAAGTGTGCTTTGGCACGCTTCATCAGCACAGCGGACCTAACTTATGCTGCACCTATGCCACACCCCAGGCGAGGCACAGAAATAGAGCCCTGAATGAAATGTTTGACCTACTCTACTACAAGTCAAAGTCTGCCATTTATTTTAGTATTATCATCAAAAAAAGCTAAACCTCTCATGATGTTTGTCATAATCGAGGAGCCCTATTTTGCATCCCTTTTTAACACCATATCATAACAGCAAGGTGGAGAACAGCGTTGACTACGCTATAAAGGTGCCCACAGAGTCACATTTCAAAGTAATGTATCTCTGTATTGAACAGCTTAAGAGTACGATCAGATGTTTTTTTTTTTTTGGGCCTAAAACGTCCTCATGCCCAGCACAGACATAAACAGCAGTCTCTGGTATGACAGTCATGCTTTGTGTGTGCTCTGAATCAACCTCATCTGTAACATAAGACTGTTCATTCATCATAAGAAGTGCTGTTTGTAAAACCATCACAGCAGTGATTTTGCTGTCACTGCAAAGTGATAATAAAAGCCCTTTATATACATGATACACCAAAATAAAATATTCTTGGAGACAGGACTGCCTCAGGGGTTTGGTGACAATCATATGACTTCTTTGATACACTTGAGCTTCATCTTCATCTGCCTTATTCACTTCCCATCCCAACAGCATAAGATTTTCTCATATTGCACAACTCATAGGCCTTAAACATTACATTTTACCATCTGCTGTAAAACAATATTTCATTGCCACTAAATGTCAAAGATTAAATATGGTATAACCATCCATGAAACTGGTTGTTTGAAAACACTGCTGAAGAAAATAGGATCCGGTTAGATCAAGTGATAGTGTTGCTCTGTTTCTTTAAGGAAGAAGCTGCATGCTAACACGATTAGCTCAGGATCTGTGTTTCTGTGATCTGTTTCTGTTGTTGTCTGCCAGGGTAATAAAGAGAAATCCATTCATAAAACTTCAAATCAAATCATACAGTTTTAGGCTGTATGCACGCCCTAAAGTGCTGATAGCATCAAAGTCAAGCAAATCTCAGGAATCAGACTATAACAGAGCAGCTTTTAATGGATCCCAACTCCAATAACCTCAATTTTCAGTCAGCCGTCTCTGCAGAGGACAAAATGTGGGTACGAGTGGTAAAGATTAAATTAAATTCAAGAAAAATAGCATGCTGTTATCTGCCATCCTATTTGGGATTTTTCTTGCCAATAACCAACTTTGTTGTAATCACTTAACTTACCCTCAACTTTTCATTATCTACTACTTAAGTCAGTGAAAAGCAGCCACAGCAAAACAAAAAAGTCTTATCTGTTGCATCGCGCTTAGTGTTCTGGTTATAATTTGATTTTATAAGATACTGGGTTGTCTCCGGCAGCCGAGTCAGCAAAGAGTGTTTAATAAATGTCCCCGAGCAGCAATGATATCAAACATATCTACTCAAATCTACAGTTTGATCACAGTGCAATACTTTCCATAAAATATATCAGATTATTTCTTCATAATACTTCACGGCACATGAGTTCATCCTCATATTCGGAGAGAAATTGAAGCTTGGACTAGGTCAGCGGGCAGGAACAGCGTGAACACTCAACTTCCTACAGCATCATTTTTTTACTATTGCTGTTGGATGGAGCCCAAAGAACGCTGGATTTAACCCAAGTGAATGTGCCTGAAAGTGTGACAAAACACACTCATTTAGACAATTATTGCACCGAGCATGTTTATGGGTCATTAAAGGAAAGCATACTGTGATGAGAATCTTTCACACTAAGCCCCTGCTCATTATGGAGACGTGTAGGACGAGACTAACGACTTTCTAAACGTGACAGGCCACAAAGGATATCATAATCTGTCTCTTGAGGATTAGTGCACACCTCTGCACTGCTAACTGCCACTGTGTCTGATCTCCTATTTTAAAGACTGGTGAGACAATATTAATAAACCACTGTCCTAACTGCAGATGAAACAGAGTTCAAGATTCACTGCAACAATTAATGACACAAGTCTTTACAATGGAGCCAGTTACAAAAGTGGATATCGAGTTAAGAGATCTTAAGTGATACGAAACAGTCACAAAGAGGAACGAAATTGTGCCGCAGCTTCATAAAAGACAGCTAATAATGCGATTTTTCATTGGTGATTAGACTGAATTTAACGGATGACTGACTGTTTTCTCAAACAAGCAGTTAATGATAGGTTTGGACGTTGGATAAAAACTCATCATTACCCAAGAGCTCAAGAACTGGATGAGTGAGCAGCAGAATTAGCTGAGTTCAGCTCATCCAAACTTGTATCATAGCTGATCGTAAATGTCGGCTTTTACATTACAGCACATTTAGGGAGAAAAAGTGCGCCCATTCTGCGTTTACTCTGTCATCAGTTTTCAGCTGAACTGAATGTGCTTGGCCTGGCTGAGAGTGAGGGGACATATTAACATTGAATTCAGGGAGATGGATAATCAGATATCCTTGTGATACGTTCACTTGACTCTAGGGGGAGTCGAGTTAAAAACTCAGCTGTTTGTGCTCACATATATCGCTCTTTCAGGTAATCTGTGTGTGCTTATAAAGGGCAACAATTGTTCTATGGATGCTAGCAAGAATACAAGCAAGTGTTTTGTCTTTTTTTATATCCCCGACAGCTAAATGTTACATAGCTCAGTTATTAGGTCAACTTGTAGATGGCGAAACAGATACATTTGTCTTTCTGGCTTTTCTGTCTGTATGCTTCGACTCTCCTGATATCCTTAAGGTGTTTCCCAACTGTCCGAATGAACATCAAATCAGTAGATTGGTTTTGACAAAGTATATACACAGTACACAATAACACACCTGTTAAGACATACTTGTGAATAACTTCTACCTCATCTGTGCAGCAAAACGGTGCAAATTCTACACCCCACAACTTTAAACAGCAAAAGTAGAGCTAAAGGGAACTTAGGCAAGCATCACTTTTGTGTGGATTTTGTTGCTGCAAGTGACACCTTTCAAATTTCACTCAGCTATTTGATGTATTGCTTTTATAAAATTATTGACTGCTATAGCTTAAGAAAAAAAAATAATGCATAAATATTAGCTAAAATGACATTTATTTTTTATTGTAGCTCTAAATTGGAATAATTTGCAAACCAATTTAAGCCGCTTGCTTTTGGTATAATCTTTTTTTTTTCTAATTAGCAACAGCACTGCTATTTTGTTACAGTTACAGATTATTTAATAGACAAAATGTATTACACAACACGGAAGTTTACCCTGGGTTTCAGAGGAGATTCAGGGTGAAGATTCGTCAGACAAATATGCTTTTCATAGAACATCCACCGAAAAAAGATTCTTGCGGTCGGAATCTGCTGTTTCTCGATTCTGTTTCTCGATAAAACAAGACTTTCTTTGATCACTTATGCATCTAGCTTATTTTTACTCATGGGGCTAACACATGTTCCTGGAATCTTGACACCTCTATTTTAGAGGGAGGTGATCATATCAAACACAAGGCCAGTTGTTTTCCTTTTTAATCTTCAAATTTTACAAAAGGACAATATGCACATGTCTAAACCCTGGATTATTATTAGAACATGATGCCCTCACTCCTTTGCTTCGTAACAGTTTAAATGGTTATTTTTATAAAACAGTGCAGTCATCTGGCCTGTGTGAACAGATCAGTGGTGCATCTGAGTGATAAAACCCTTGAGAATGTTCACCAGGCTACATTAAATGGCGTTCATGTGCCTGCCATTATAATCACCATTGCATGCCTTTCTACTGAATCACCCAGTTGGCTTATGGGATGATGAGGCTTTCTGATGCTATAGTTGTCAAGTCTTTTTTTCCCATTCCCTGTGTTTGGATTTACCTGAAATATAAAAATAATAAAAGGTGCAACTGTTACACACAGTTTTCATCCAAATCACGGGTTGGTCTACCCAATTCCTACTTTCTACTCTTCGCCTTCCCTGACTGTCTTCAGCTGTCAGATCCAGTCTAGGCAAAAGTTCCAAACAAAAAAAAAAATGCTTTATACAAGTTTACACCTAAGTTTAGAGAAACGTAGGACAGCTGAAAGTAAACAGAAGCTTCACATTTGGGCCAAAACACTGCCATTACACCCAGGCATCATCCGAGAATTAAAGTGCATGTCTGCCGACTGCATCATCTTTTTATATTTTAAAATGATTGTTAATAATCACTGTGAGAGACTCAAATTTCTCAATCTAACTAGTACTAATGTTAGTAATGTGAGAGCAACAGTAGTGGTCCTGGGGGATTAATCAAATTTTAATCACAGTTTTGGCTTCCTGCAGTCACCAAAGCAAAAAGAAAATAATCGAGTGATTACAGCACAGTTTACCAAGTATGTGGGGATTGCTGTATCTTAAATACATCATGCTACTGCAGTACAAACCATCATGCCATAGGTGGGGAGTGGAGAGTTGTGTGGCAGTAGGAGTAGATGTGTGTTAGTAAAGCAGAGGGACAGCATGAGCAGAGAGGAGAGAGAGAGCAAGAGTTGACAAGCTAATGCTCGCCAGACTGAACTGTGACCATTAGCAATCTGTATCCACACATCCAAATGAAATCTGTTCAGAAAAGCGTGGTTTCAGTGTCCAAGTGTACAAGTGTTACGTTCAATATGATGCAGATGTTGCCAAATGAATTATCATGACCCTAACTGTGATTTTAAAAAAATGATTGTGATTTTTGCCTGAATTTTATTCAATTGTTCAAGGAGTTAGCTTTTTTGGTTTTCATTTTTCTTCTCTTTTTACAAGTTCAATCCAACAAGTATCAGCTGACCCTGCATATTTTCTTTTATTTTCCACCAGCGCTTCCCTTTAACAGTCATCCAATCTGACGCACTCACAGCTGGAAGCTGCTGAGTCGGACCACAGTTCTCCTCTGTTGTTCCAACGAGCAGCAATGGTGGACTAAGTGCTTCATCCAAGGGCACCTTGAGCACACAATGCTTCTTGCTTTCCTTGTTGTGATTCACTCAACTGGGATTCAAACTGGCACCCCTCTCATCACCAGCCAGCGTCTCTAACCTCGGAGCTCCTCCTGCCTCGCGTTTGTATGTGCGCGTAATCAAACAATTCCCACTCTACTGCGAGCACTTTGCGGTATGCATGTGTTATGCATAGTCCCCCTTGGATGAGCATTAGGTTTTACTTGATCTCACAGCCTTAAGCTTCCCATGTGCGTCATCCCGGGCGCCGTTCATGCAGAAACAACTTTGCACTGTATAATATTGTAAATGATTAAAAATAGCACAGGAAAGCATGGAAAGATGAAAAGGGGGGGTAGCTGGAGTGGGAGGGATGCAATCGTAAATAGCTGCAAATATGTTCTCCTGTATGTGCAAGTATTTATAGACTCATTATGTTGTTCTTTGGGAGTCAAAACACAATCTGCAGTGAGAGACAGACTGAGAGCAAGAGAAAGTCCTGAGTTTGTTGATTTCAACCATGTCATGCTGGTCATTGTGTAACACTTATAGAAATTTACAGGCGTGATTGATTTGCCCACTTGGCGTTATATAATTATAACCTGGAATGCACTACGGCCTGTGTGATAACTGTTTGAATGGTTTGATGCAAAGCGCTATTGGCGGAATTCCTCCACAGGTATGCAGTCTGACAACATAACGTCCTCAGAGAACAGTGGGGGTGTTGGATCAGAGCGATGTAAGCAGACAGGGTGTCATGGAATATGATGCCTTGAAGGTCAAATTTAAGTGAAAAGAGGAAGAAAAAAAAGGGAATGTGCGTGTGCGAGAGTGAGTAAGCATGGGAGGCAGGGGAGGAGGAGGAGGAGGAGGAGGAGGAGTACAAAAAGACAGGTGACTGAGATGGGGCCACGAAACACGGTGAGTGGAATGTAAACGAGAAAGGTGTTTTCTCAGAGGGGAAATCTTATACAGCCGATACAAAATTATATATACAGAATGGATTGCTGTGTGCGTGCTTTGTGTGTTCAGGTAATCCTTCAAATATTAGACAATCATGAATATGTCTAGAGACTGGCACCTTATAAGGAGTCAATTGAGTCATATGAGCACTTGCTGTGTCAAGTTATCTTTCTCAGCTGACTCTAGAAGGAGGTCTGCACCCAGCAAGACAAAGCAGCACCTGCCAAGACTATAAGAGTTCTGACAAATACAGAAATACACAACAATTGCTGTATGATTGATGCTTTTTATGTTGCAAAAACATAAATCCACCATCCCCGGATAGAAGCAACAAAGTGAAATGATAGGAATGATTGAGTGTTTTTTCTAGAAATAAACAATAATCCTCTTTCGGAGTATTTCTCCCTGTTTTTCCACTTTATCTCGACTATCATGTACAGCTGTGACCCTTCGGCTCTTGCACTCACTGCATCTGAGAGTGAAAGGTGGCAGAAAACAAGCTGGACAAGGTAAGCAACAACGAACGATAACATCATGCACATAATCCCAGAAGAGGAACCACAGCCGTGCATATATATCAGCTACATAATTAGATCTGCATGTGATCTTATGTTCGCGTTTTTAATCCTTATGAGAGCCAAAACGCCTTCTGTTTCAAGTAGATATGCAAGTGGCTGTAATTAATGAAAAGTCAGAGTATTTTACATGTTCCAGGACACACAGCAGCCAATTTAATGCTGACTTTACATTATCAGGTGCAAAGCAGCATCAGGCGATGCCAGCAGGCGATTCTTTCTTTTTCTGTGTCTAGGCTGACAGCAGGGGCATTAACCAATCTATAGCAGGGAGTTAAGTGGCTCATAAGGAAAAAAAAGGAGATCCTTATCCCCTGCCACTCAATGTTCATTTATTCAGCTTGGGCAAACTATAAATTAATTGCAAAGTCATGACCTTTAGGCTGTTGTGGGTCCCCAATTAGTCCATGTTTTTCACCACTGAGTCCTTTTCTTCCACTTTCCGATAGCGTTAAGCTGCTCCGCCATACTGTGCCGCTCTGATGCTTATCACAGCAAGCAACACGGAAACTGACAAACCCAGTGAGCAGCTGTGACTCCAGCGCCTTCACATATCTGGGAGAGAACAGTAGGAATGATAGGACCGCGTCGGCCAAAATAAAGCTTTAATTAAATGAAGCCGTCTTTATTACGTAGATGTTTGCATTTCCTTGTGTTTCCGTTCAAGGCCTAATGAACTTCAAAAAAAACACTCAGGATGGTATCAAATATTTCTATCATGATAGAGTGCATGAAATATGTGGCAGCCCAGAGATGGTGTTTATTTTGGGGGAGTATAATCTGATACTGTATTGACCAAAAACATACAGTGGATACGGTGCAGTACCTCTTATGTCAACTTTCACATAGAGACCAACTCCCTAACCTGTGACCTCTTCAGTCTTTGAGAGCCTCTTTCTTGGATAAGCTCTGAGGCCCACTTGAGCTTCTGCTTAATTCTTTTATACCTCTGAGAAATGCTGAGTATGCACCTCTCAAAGAGGGAAAATAAGGAAGAGCCCCTCCACACGGGTTATGTGATATAAATATATGCTCTGCTTTAGATTGGAATTCATGCCTTTATGGCATTTCATGAAAATCTACTAAAACTCACTCACTAAAATGAACCTTGAAAAACACAAGTACTTCTTTAAAGTTTTAATTTTGCACGTGTGCCCTCAAACTCAGATTTAACGTAAGAGTATAAGTTACTAAGGTCCAAATGTGAACTTTGATGTCATAAAAGGTTTGTGTTTAGTCTGCAAGTGATTTCAAATAGAGTTTTTTATATTTAAAACAGTTATTTTAAAAAAGTGGTGAAGTCTGCCGTTAAATTTATATGATGGGCCAGGCACATGAGTGCCCATATTGTTATTTGATAGCACAGATTTCAGATGCACTCTTTTTATACAGAGTTATAAGCATAGAATGTAAACACTATGGACAATTTGGTTCCGCCTTCCGCAAGGAGAGTCACCGAGAGTTGCTGTGATGACGCTCACCTCAAACAGCGTATCCCCTAGGTGAGCTATGCAATCTTCATACGCCCATGGGCTTTATCAGGTGTCAATCATAGAAAACATGAACCCCCTAATAACTTTTAAAAATGGAGCTGCACAGATAACTCGAGGACTTGAGCACAAACCAGTCTTACAATAACTACATGTCAACATCGCAAACAGGGGGAGAAAATGTATATTCTGTGTAAAATATTTCTACAGTTTGTCCACAGCTCCATAAGCTTTGCTGGCGGAGGCGGGATTTATGACCTATACTGCAGCCTGTCACCAGAGGGTGCTGTTCTCAGCGGGTTTCACCCAGCGAGGAGGCAGACGCTGTCCATTCTATATACAGTCTATGGTTATAAGTTGTTGTGATTAAATTGGGAACATCCCATCCCTCAGACTGAAACCACATCAACCAGGATGGAAATCCTTTGACACTGCAACCAAAGCCCAATGTAAACAGAGGAAAGAAGATTTCAGTCGATTAAAAACAGATTCATTTTCCTTCAAGTATCAGACTATGTGCCCATATTAGTCTGCAAAGTGAAGCTAAAAAACTCAGGCAGCAGAAACACCTTTCTAAGTGGAGGAGGGCTCAAAAAACAGTGATATTTTATAGTTTTCCTCCCTTTGCAAGAAACACTTTGGTCATGTGCCAAAGAAATGTGGTGAGGACACACAAAGTTAAATTAATTTGGCTGCAAAAACAGTTCAACTTTCTGACCACAATTGTCATCATCTCAACACAACCGTCTCAGCCTCTGTGGGTGAAACTGAAGCTGAGCGAAAGGGGGCACAGCAGGCTTCACAGGGAGGCAGGCCTGTCATCGGTGGAGGGGGGACGACACATGATCCTGCCAGCCGATACTGGCACTACTGTGAGAAGATAGGGTACATTATTGTGAGACAATGACTTCAACCTCTAAGAATGTGTTTTTCGTCTTCATCTTAATCAACATTAAATCTGGACTTTAAAGTAAGAGCTGTTTGAACAGCAGGGATCACGCAGCTTCAGAAAGTAACAGGCAGGCCCATCCTGTCGAGGCAGATGCTTGGTCTCCGTCAGTTTAAACACGAGTTCATCCTTGCCAGTTGTTGGCTCAATGGATAAATATTGGGCGGCCCAAAGTAATTTAACAGAGTACCCTCAGGACCTGCTCTTTATGTAAAGAGTTTTCAGATCACTTTTGTTACGATTCAATGCTGTATTTTGGAAAACAACCATAAAATCTGGAATAAAAGTTGCAGCAGTCTATTAAACAGTCTGTTTTTGAGGAGTTCCTGGGAAAGGGAAAAGATTTAGATTGTTCTCCTTCAGCAATGTGCAGTTTCTATGCAGATGTGTAGCCTTTTATAGTAGCGCCACCCTACCGGTTTCCTGTATTGTAGGTGAGTGCGGCCCATGATAGCATTGATAGCTATGAACATTTCCATTTAAAGCAGCACTCCACAAAGTTTATGTACTGTATGATATACCACCATTTTCTTTAAAAGCATGATAATGAGCCAATGACTGAGACACGCAATAAAAAGTGGTGCCGCTAGACGGATTAGCTCACTCCACTGAGTCATCTGGTTAAGATACTGTGACACAATAAAATACCTCTGTCTGCACTTGATACTGGTATATCAGTTGCACCAGTGTGTAGGACTTCTTGCATCCAAAACATGGAGTTTGATGGTACTTGAAGCAAATATACAGGAGGAACTTGTATAAATTACAAAATGATACAAGCTGTGGCGGCTCTGAAGTTTGAACTGCGGAAAAATAAACGGAAACCATCCGTAACATTTATGTGTTCTGTCCTCGGCTCTATTCAAGCAGCACAAACTTAACCCAGGAAACCGGTTTGTTCAGCAGTGTAATCATATTTTTGCAATTAATTTGGATGTGTGTGGCCATGATAAAGCCTGCTCTTAAGGATTCTCAAAACAAGTCTTTCAAAAGGCTCCCCTCATAATGAAAATAAAACAGGATGCAGCAAAATCAGCATCTCCTCCACAACATCTACAGAGGGGGATTTGTTTTCTTTTCACAATCATCTCTTTATTAAGCTCTGCAGTGCTGAGCCAATTTCCGTTCAGAATCTTTAAACAAAGCTGATGGATATTTAGAAACCTAAAACACTCATTTTAATTGGAGGCCCATGTAAATACCGTCTAATTCTTCATTAATGCCTCCAAATATTCATTACAAGTGAGAGCAATAATTTTGTAAAGACGTGTAATGAACAATCTGAAATAACATTCTGCTGGAACGCAGCCAAGTCATGCATGCAGAGCTGGAAAAGGATAAACTCCATGTCACACTCAAAAACAGACAGACGCGCTCCACCGTGGAGCTCTTTTGGTTTGTTTTGCGACAGCAGAGCTCAGCGCGCAGAGGTGTCAGTCTTTGTCTGTCACTTTAGACTCAGAGTGGTACAGTAGGTAAGCTATTTCTTAAAGTTCCTGCGCTCGAGATTCTGCAACATTTTTTTTGCCGGGGAACAATCCCTACGCAGGAAACAGATGTGGTGACACAGATGAAACACAGAGTAGGCAGAAAATATGAGGGACCTCTTTGCTCTCATTCAGAAATTTTGGCTGATAACATACGAGCGCAGAGGAGAATGATGCAATTGTTATTCAAGTAGGACTGATGACACCCAAAGTCAAAGAGGATGTCTCAGATTTTCCAGCCTCAACTTTTCAGCAGAACTTTACGACAACCCTGTTTTTGCAGGATGACATATCAACATAATGTCCTCTTTCTGTGACATAAAAGATATACTTAAACCTTGGCAGATAAGCTGGATGTGTGCATCTCAATAGAAGACAAATGTTTAAAGGCGCTGCAAGGCACTGAATCAAGCCTGCCAGCTCTTTGAACTCTATGTATTAATATATTTTCTAAAATAGGAAATATTTTCTTTTTCCAAAAAAAAAAAAAAAGCTTCATTAAACCATCTCACATCATATTCTTTGAGCTAATGTCTCCCTCCAGCCAAACAGCAAGCCAAACCACCAATTGTGGCTATTCCCTGTTGGCATCTTTTGTTCTTTCCTCCAGCATGAATTGAAAAATTTCCCTTTATCTTTAACAGAACAAGTACATGTAAGATGATTTATTGGCATCGAGTCGAGCTCACAGCACTGACTCTGTGTCCAGCCATGCAGCTCAAACCGCTCACCATGTGTTGTTGGCTTCACTTACTGGCCACTTCGTGCACTGATGGAGAGTTTGGCCTTGCGGGGACAGCACTGCTGCTGCCGCCTGCATTATGTGGCCCCGATGCCTGCCAGGCTCTCCACCAAGTAGATTTCATTTCTCATTATTTATATTTATCCCCTTGTTGTTGGACTGCTGTGCCATCTCCAAAAGCCCAAAGTTCACGCCAAGAAAATTGATGCCTGCTTGTTTTTTTTTTTGTTCGATCTGCTCGGCAGGAAATTGAATTCTTAGCGGACAGAAAGTGAGGCAGTAAAAACTCTCGCTCCTGAGAGTTGAGTCTGGTGCTTCGTCCAAGTCAAATGTGCGGCTGTGTTTCAAACAACCCTCTGTAGCATCAAATTCCAGCAGATAAGGGCCAGCACCCACAGCCAACTCATCATCAAAACATTCCAGCAGTGATGAAAGTATGAATGGAAAAGTTTTGTACCAATCAATACGTCTGCCAATTTGCATACGATTTGCCAATGGCTCTTTGAAAAGTAAATTGCAAACGCCTTGAGTTAGGCATGCATGACTTCGAAAAACTTGAATGAAAAGTAGAAAAGGCGCCTTCAAGTCATGAACTTGGAGAACAACGTCATCGATGTACGTCAGAAGAGACTTGTTAGTATTCACCGACAGTTTTGCAAAACACAATTAAGCCGAGGGTTTGCTCATCAGCTCGCTTTTGATCCTCAAACGGTGGACTTTTCCCCAGGATGCTCAGTCGCAATTCAGCGTAGCAAGAAAAGGGAAAATTGAATTGTTCAATGAGCTGAATAAATAAGTGGTAATTCTGAGTCGGTAATGCTCAATGCTCATATGCAACATTGAAGGCTTGTATATGCAGATAATGCAAGTTAACTGCATGCTTGATTAAATTCCTGCTGCTGCTGCATTATGACCTCCTTACATGTGATTAGAAATAATTAAGCGAACAACTTCAAAGATGCAGTTCCCTAAATGTATCTCTCCTCTTTTCGATACTTTGCTGAACAATTTACCACATATTAACACCTCATAAAACTCACTTACATTCTTATTTACAGTGACAAATTCATTTTGAAGACAGCTTGGCAGGAAACAGCAGATCTCTTCAGACTCTTAAATCCAGGATGCATTTCAGAATAAAACCGTCTCTTTATCAAATGATTATTACAAAGCAGCGGGAGCTTGTAGGAGAGAGTCAATCACTTCCCTGTACATCCTAGATACACTTTATACTTCTCAACGGGGGCTCTCTGTGTCCTCGATCCACATGATGTGAATCCATTCTGACGCTAACATTTTAATGCTGAGTGAAATGGTAATTTCAGGAGTGTATTTAGCAAATCGCCCTGTTACAGCCTCCAAATGATGACAGCCGTGATATGTGGAGCTGCCAGTTTGGTGTGTGCAGCGCTCAGCACGACAGGAGACTCTCAGGGGGTTTTCAGCAGCTCTCCGTCCTCTCTGACTATTAAATAATGAGCGTTTTACCACCTTTACCAAGCAAGGCAAACACGACTGAGTCAATGTTGTCCAAACTAAAGGGGGCATGCAATTCAATTGACAGCTCAGAGTGGAATTAAATCTATGCTTTTTAAGTGATGTGCAAACCAAGAAAAACACTCATGCATGACAAGTTTCACCACTGAGCTGAGCTGGTGATACATTTAAAATTCTGTTGTCATCAGAGACGTGAAATGAAATCTTTCAGCTGAAGACATCAATGGTAGAAAAGCCTGGGAAGCGTCAGTGGAAAGCAGCGCTGGGCTTTCCCTGTGGCTTCTGACTGTGTCAATAATTGCTATAGTGTTTCTCTTTCCTTTGAGCATATTTAACTGCTGGTAGACTTGAGGTAGGTTAGTGAAATATCTGCCTTTAAAGCAGGCAACATTAAGCTGCCCAGTAATATTTACTACTAAAAAGACCATTTCAGTTATCGTGGAAATCAAGTTATATTTGTCACATTCACAGCCTCACAGTGTAATGCTTAATGGTACCTGTCCAGCCACGAGAAAACTATGTATTTTAAGATATTTCAATGTCACATCTATGACACTATTTAAAGAAAAGGCAAAAAAATCTCTGAATCCTTCATTTTGTCGTAAACTGACGTTTCTTTCCATCGCGTGCACTGGCATGTTCATGGTGGCTCGGATTTGTACAGAGGAGCTCGCGCTACAGATGGACAGCCGTAAAAAAAAAAAAAAACTACCAAAATAAAATGTCTCTATCATTCATAATAACAACACGCCTCAAATGAATCAAACGGCGCTCATTTTAACCCCCTGTTGTTTCAAACAACACCGTCAACTTCATATAGAGTCGAAACTGTTTACTTTGACAATGTCAGAGTTTGTTTTGTTTCGCTTTGTTCAGTTTTATCTCGACGCGCGCGCTCAGACTTGGACTCACCTGCGTTCCTCAGCTTCTTGTTTCGATACACAGAAAAGATGACCAAGAGGTTGCCCAGGATGTCAACGACGATAGTGAAGATGAGAAAGCATCCCAAAGTTGTGCTAACCCACGGCGGGCGGTTCAGGACGGTGTCAAGAGGGTCTTCCGACGAGCTGTTCAGGTGAGACCCATTTATAACCATTGTATACAGCCGCTGAACTTTCTCGACTGGTCCAAATTGCAACGCGCCTAGACTCCCCGTGCGTCCTAAAGCCTGGGTTTTGGAGACGCCGGTGATAGGATACTACTACAGCCTCCCGCGGCTTTCATCTTCATCCTCCACACGCGCTTCTTCTTCTTCTCCTCCTCCTCTTCTTCTCCCTCCGCGTGCCGCGCTTCAGCTCTGGCAGACAGTCTTCTCCCTCTCTCGGTGTCACTTGTGCGCCCGTGTGCCATTCACTTTGTCGGTATGCACGAGAGTGTCATGAAGCCGCACAACTTCAAACCTTCCCAGCATGTGATCGAGCAGTCCGGAGACGAGCGGGTTTTTATTTTAGGAGGGGGAGAATACCGCTGCCTGCTGGACGAGGAGGGGAACAGCAGCGCGTGATGGCACGGAGAGCGTCCTACTTCTTTTCCATTTACCAGGGTGCGTGTTCATTCATGGCTTTGCGGTCGCTCGCTTTCCTTTATTTCAGCAGCCCATTCATTATCATTCGGAGGAATCATTCATATTTTTTTGTTTCAGAAAAATTCCCCACAACCTCAGAGATGCTTCACAACGACCAGAAACCGTAATTCAGACACAAATAAAGCTCAAGCTGGGAGTTCACGCTTGATTCAGCTTTTATATTATGATCATTGGATTTTCCCTTTTTGCTGCAGAGGACGAGTATATATCCAAAACGCTTGCTTGAATAACTATCGCCATCATTATATAACTGGGTTTATCCTGTGAAATAAAGGAGGAGTATTTACTCTCTCAAAACGCATTATAACCGAATAGTTTGATTTACTGTCACTTGCTGAATGGATGCAGGTTGTAAATAAAGAATGGGGGATAATGCCACTGTTTGTTAATGATGTTCACAATAAATAGGTCACATACACAAACAATCACTGCTGCTTATGGAGCCTTCTCAGTAAATGACAGCCTGTCAAAATAAAAGAAATCTCAATACAGTAGCATAAAAACACCTTTACAAGTGGCTGATTCAATCTGAAAATTCTAGGGAACAGTAAATTTATCACATTTGAGATGAATCCAGCCGATGAGATAGATATCCTGCCCTGTTCATTAGTCTGCTATTTCAGGACTGGTCATTCAAATATTAGCAGAAGGGTACAACTATTTTTGTCTCTCCCTCTAACATTCATTTTTTTATGTATTTACATAACCAGCTACATCAAAATAATAAGGCTGTGGTTGCAAGGTAGCCAAAACGTGATCATTCAAGTCATATTTTGAGATTACATGATGAATCATTAAAATGTCAAATTTGATATGTGGTAATTTGTAAAAATACTTCAAAATTAAGAGCAGATTTGTGGATTTTTTTGCTTTTCTGTGATGCTGTGTTGCAGGGGATCACTGTTATTGGTCTTTGACTTATTTCCGACCATTTTTTATTTTCTATCTAATGTATTTTTGTCCGGTTTGTTCCAGTCAGTGTCCTCTCTTTAACTTTTTAACTCTCAAATATATAATGACTGTTAGGGTTTGAGTCTTTTAAGCTCCCAAAGTAATCACACTGTACTTCATCTGCGCTGTAAACATCAATATGTTATGCTTCTGTCAATACCAAGTTAATTCATCCCTTGCTCTGTAAACATGGCGTGAAAGTAAACAAACTGTAAAGACTTTTTAATGAGGACACCCAATTCAATAAGGATTTTATATTAGCTTCTTGTAAGCTTATTTGTTACAATACAGAGGAAAAATAACCGGCCTTGTGATGTTATCCGCCACCTACATCTGCTAATGCAAAGAAAAGTTAATAGAAAAACATACCTTTACTGAGAGTTTATTTAGCTTTAATACCAATTGCATAGATATGTTAATGGACTTTTAATCTCTGAATTAAAATCTGATTAAAAATGCAGGCTGATATTTTTTGAAGTCATTCACTTCTTTCTTTCAGTTGTTAGTATGTTTCTTATTTGCAGACGAGGTAAATTACAGTTATCAAACCCTGACATCGCTTTCATTCTGCAGAGGATCTCGTCTGTTATCCTTTTCTGCCCCTCAGGACATTATTATCTCCAAATCAACAGCATCCCAAAAATTATTAGCCGTAATTGACCTAAACTTTCCCTTTCTCCCATCACATTGCCTTTTGTCACATAATTTCATGACACAAACAGCTCATTATTATTGATTATTTGTGAATCACATTCATCAAAAGTACCGTCATTACTCCTTTCTTCTCCTCTCTCAGTATCACATTTTAGGTCAGCGTGTTCTTCACGCCGTGCTTCTCTGCTGGCAGACATTGATCAGCACACCCTGTAATCTTCAGTGCATTCAAAAACACATTACAGAGCCTTATATTAGGTTGTGTGTCACAATAAAGCCAAGAGGAAACGTTTTTTATATGATTATTGCAGTGAGTGGGCAAAAAGTGAGAGTCGTGTGAGAAAAGGTCCGTTGGGACTGTGAATGAGGAGAAGGAAAGATGGAATCTTTGAATAAGTTTGCTAAAGCTTGTTAAATCATTTCTGTTTTTACTGGTTATAAAACAGATTTAAAATCAGCAGCAGAAAACCCCGAGAGCTCCAAATACTTGCATTTTGTATCGCTGTTTTTTTTTTCATTGGAAATATGATATGGCTTGGAAAAATGTCATTTGCTGAAGTCAAAGCCATTCTTTGTTACCACCGGATGAGCCTTTAACCACCCTTTAATCATGAATGCTGTGATTCATACTGGCATGATCCATCTAATTAAACCAATATATCACTGTTTCTTAAATATCAGTCTCACAAATGAATTTTAATGTGTCATGTCACTATTTATTTATTTATTTATTTATTTGCATATAACATATTATATTACATTTGGTTTGCAAAGTTGGATTTAAACTTTTTGGACACATTTATGTAAACTGAACTTCTAAGGTGCCAATTCATGGGGTATTTATTGATTTATAGTCTGGGGCCATTATGATCATCACAAAAATTGAATTCCCATTGAAAGGTTATGAGTCTGAGAGCTAAGAACCTTCAATTCTGACCCACTGATATGAAATGTAATGGTTCAGTAGCATAAAAAGAGTTAATACCAAAAGTAACTTTATCATTTTTCTGAACTAACGTTGATAGCATTTATCAAGAAATACTAGCCAATTGACAATTCTGCAACTTGACGTCAACATTGTACTTCATTAAATGTCAGTGGATGTGATATTACAGACAGTAAGCAAACATTTCTCCACATGCTAACATATGCATCTGAGCCACTGACAGAGGTTGGATAGTGATGGCGAGGGAACTTGGTCAGGACATCTCCAAAACTGTAGCTCTTGTGAGGTGTTCCCTGTCTGTAGTGGTCGGTGTCAACAAAAAAGTGGTTTAAAGAAACAAAACCCAGTCAACTGGTGACAGGGTCATGGGTGGCCAAGGCTCATTGGTGCAAGTGAGAAGCTAAGGTTGACCTGTGTCCAATTCAGCAGAAAAGCTACTGAAGTTCAAACTACTGAAAAAGTTACTGCTAGCACTGACAGAAAGTGTAAGGACACACTGCGTTGATGTTTGTCATGTACAGGGCTAGAAAAACCACTTTATTTTAAACTGAACTCTTCCATTTATTATTTTATTCATCTCTGGTCTTCTTTGTTTTGTTGGTTCAACAACACTAAAAGGAGGGAGTTGGCTATTGTCAGCTGTTTGTTTCATTGGCTAAGATTTGATGACGAGAAATTAGCAGAAAGTCAAAACTCTTAAAATGCAGAGGTTTGACCTCAAACCCAACCACTTGTGCAATAATCATGACACATAATGGTGTGAGTCACAGAGCAATTCAGATTGTAATAGATTTTAATAGCCAACACCAGTTGAAATTGATGTGATTCAGTGAATTACCACAATGTAGCAGCTCCTGTTTCCCTCTATCCTCCATTTAAGACCACTATTTGGTGTTTTCCCTGCTGTGTCTTTATAAATCAGTAATTCTAGTGGCAGAGGAGCAAGCATAGAACATGTAACCCAGCCCACGACAAGTAATGAGCAGGCCTCTGAGAGGTGGAATACGTATCAGCAGGGGCAAACTTTGAGGAAAGCACACTGCTACAACAAGGCCCCCCTATGTGGTTGTAGTAATGAGTGAATAGGATTTGAGATGCAAGTTATTTAACCTTGCAGTTTTTTCTGGGAGAGAAATGGTAAAACATGAGATAGATTTGGGGGATAATTACAATTAGTTATTTTTATACAGCAGCCACAAGCAACATGGTGAAGGTGGAAAGCTTAAATGCTGTTACGACGCTATGAGCTCGCTAAGGTTTTAGGTTAATGTCTTGGATACCTGATTGTCTGACCAGTGTCAGTACCTTTTCAACAAAAGTATTTCTACGGTGAATAAGGTATACTAATTACCGGTGGCTACCTCGTGATGACAGCTAATGCTAGCAAGTTTTTAAATAACACAATGAAACTATCCCTACATTAGCTAGACGTGAAGTACATTGAATACTTTTTCAATCCAACCTTGTGAAAGCTAGAAACTTCAAACTTTCCCTTGCTTATCTACAGAACAGCTATATTAGCTTTCAGCAACCTTATCTGTGATAATACGGTGACGGCTAACTTTGGCAAGGATAGAGTTTACTAAATACTCTTTCAAGCTAACCTTATTTTCAGCTAGGAATGTAAACCTTTTCTATTCAATTCTTTGACACTGCTCTAGCTCCAAACAACCTTCTCTTGGTTAGCTAAGATAAAATAAGCCTTAAGTCCATTAATGTCTTCCTCAAGCTTACCTTATAGAAGCTAGATATTTAAACCTTTATTGTGCTAATGTATAAAGCATAAACAGTTATATTAGCTTGAAACGAACTCTTATTTGATACCACTATAAAAGCTGACTTTTAAAGTATACTATTTTTTTCAAGGTTACCTTATGCTAGCTAGAAACTTTTACCTTTCCTTTGCTAGTCTGTATGCCCAGAGCTGCCTAGCGTCACACTTTGAGTGTGACAGTCTCACACCACACGAGACATTTCTCACACTTATATTTCCCCATTTAATACTCTCTCTCTCTCTCTCTCTCTCTATATATATATATATATATATATATATATATATATATATATATTTTTTTTTTTATGTTGATAAAGTTGGCTTACCGATTGGCTGACCGAGATAACCAATCCATCAAATCTTACCAACCACGGAAGGCACCACGCAATATAAACCAATCAGAAGCAATGGAAGGCGGGTCTTGGTGTCCCTAATTATCTTTCACAAGCAACAGTGCCAACATTTAAAACCCACTTGACTTTCTCCTGCTCCCACTCGAGCAGCTGGCATGGAGGTGAGGACATCA